TCAATCCCCAGTAGGGGGCATGCAGGAGGCAGCCGATCAATGATTCTCTCTCATCATTGATGTTTCTATCTCTCTCTCCTCTCTTCCTCTCTGAAATCAATAAAGAAATATACTATATTTTAAAAAATGCATTCTCTTTAAATAAATTAATTAATTAAATTAAATATATGATTAAGATATAATTGACATATAACATTAGTTTCAGGTACACAAAATAATGATTCAGTATTTGTATCACAGTTGACCTTTGAACAATGCAGGAATTAGGGGCCCTGACACACACATAGACACCCTCACTGTGCAATCAAAAATCCATGTATAACTTGACTCCCCAAAATTTAATTACTAATAGCCTTACTGATAATATAAACCATCAATTAACACATATTTTGAAGTAATGTGTATTATATACTATATTCTTATAATAAAGTAAGCCAGAGAAAAGAAAAAGTTATGAAAAAATCATAAGGAAGAGAAAATACATTTATAGTATGTATTGAAAAAAAATCTACATATGTTTGACCAATGCAGTTCAAACCTGTGTTGTCCAGGGGTCAACTGTTTTGTGAAATGATCACCACAATAAGTGTAGTTAACATCCAGCACCCCCCAAAAAAAATGTTCTAATGATCTTGGAAAACATGAAGTTGGCAAGAAAGCAGTTGATTTTTTTTAAAGAAACAAATAGAAAAGAAAGAATAAGAGGAAGGGAGAGAGAGATAGAAACATCAATGATGAGAGAGAATCATTGATTGGCTGCCTCCTACATGCTTTTTACTGGGGATCGAGCCTGCAATCTGGGCATGTGCCCATTTCTTTTTTTTTTTTTTTTTTTTTTTTTTTTATTCCTAGTTCATGAAATCCAAACATCTGGAAATCAATGTTCTGCAGTGAACTGTGATACATTGCCTTCTGCCGCCAGCAGTTTACATTTACATCAGTGTCTGTATACGTGTTTATACATGTGTTCATTATGTGTGTGTGTAGCTACAGATTTCGCATATATATACACAATATATATAATCATAAATGTATCCAAGTTAGACACTGAAAAAGCATGATTTTTATTTTCAAAATCATGTTTTGTTTCCCTCTTTCGAGTAAATACAGAAAATGTGACTATAACCAGCGATATAACCAAACCAAGCCTCCCCTCACTGCTAAGAGTCAATCTCATGCAGAGGTCTGTTTGTGATCCAACCTGTTAGTCACTTTCTACTCTTTAATGTTGTTGAGAAGCCAGATCCTGGAAGGGTGATGGGGAACACTTCCCAATCATAGCCGGTTCCTCAGCCCCCGCCCCCAGCGCCCCTCTGATTCCGCACTGACTCAGAGGCGCCAGGAAAGCCAGTTGGACCTTCCACCCCATCCTGGACCATGCTTGTAAATCAGGTGCGATAATTATTTAAGCAATAGGCACAGCCCAAGTTTCTGTAAACAGTGTAATGTTGATCCTCTTACATTCTTTATCTTAAAACAATCCTAACCACATATGGCTCCATGCCTCAGAGTAAAGATTTCTATGAGAACACTGTGAACCCACCTAATAAACTTAAGCTTTTTCTCAGAAAACTGAACTCCAATGCACCACAATGTGGAATTTACATCTCAAGGCAAGAAAGCAGTTGATTTTTTTTTTTTTGAAGAAACAAATAGAAAAGAAAGAATAAGAGGAAGGAGAGAATTGGTACTGCATATAGACTCATGTATAATGTCAGCAGCTTTCAACTAGATGCATGTCAAGGAGAACAGAAACCACAGCAGGCCCTGAGAACGCGTGGTCTACAGGCACTGAAATGGAGTACCTTTGGTTTCTTGTTTGCTTGTTTTTTTATGAGATGATGAGAGTGTCCAAACCATACTGGCTCTAGTGCCTCAGAGAGAAATTCAACCTTTCGAGGCAGCTCTGGGCACACAGAAACTGCCGCGAACAGGTAACCATCCTATGGCCAGCCTGTACCTCTCATGGTGGATCTCAGAAAAGGGGGACCAAAGCAGGGGAGACTGAGATATCTAGAGCCAAACTGTCCCAACTCGTGATTAAATCCACTGAGAAAAGACGGGATTTTCATTGTAATTAAGATATTCCTGCTCTAATTGTGTAACATAAGGATAAACTAGATGATTACAGGGTTTGGAGTTTCAATCTTTGCACTTTGAGATGTACAGTGCAAAACAAAAACAAAGCCCCAAATACTTCACTATTGTTTTAAATGACTTTAGCCAGCTTAACAATTTGGAGCTTAACTTTTTGGGTTTGAGTTGATCACTTAAACAACACCCACTGAGAATGTTAGTACAAACTTTAGATAAAAGCTTTAAGAGACAAAAATAAGAAAGAATAAACTAGTCGAATATGGATATTACAATATTTTACCACAGGGCCTACAAACGTAAATGCCTGGAAGAACCAAGCAGGTAGCAAAATGAGTGAAGTAACTAAGTATAAGACAATAGGGCATAGTGGAGACTGTGGGACATAGGAGAGAATAGGCTCCACTTTAGGGCATTCACAATTATTTTTAAACATGTATCAAACGTAATGTCCATGGGATAGACATGGGTCACCTGTTATGGACCCGCATGCTGCACTTCCACCGTGTGATCCTGCTTGCTCTTAACAACCCAATAACTGGTATATTATTACCAGCGTCCCCTGGAGAAGCCACCATCAGCTGCCTGCACCACACATACAGTACTCCTCCACGCTCCTTCCTCCCTCCCTGCCGGCACGGCAGCATTCTACTTCAGACATGGCAGTGCCTGACCCTGCTACCACCCAGGCACGTGAGAGAAGTCACAGCCAACAGGGCCTGACGGGCTGCAGGGAGGCTTCACAGAAAGGCGTCCTCCCTCATAAATACAGGGGCAAGGAGACAGGAGAAAACGGAGCTTTGGAATGATGGCAGGCCACGCTGTCTGAACGAGGAGGGGACGTCCAGGGTACACAGACGTCCAGGACCACAGTGAGGGAATCAGTTGTCCTACCAGGGAGGTTAATCAAGCTCCGTACTGTGTAAGCCACACTCAGGTAGGTTTGCCCAAATCAAAATATAACATGCCCACTGAAATGAATGAGAAAAAGGATGTTCAGTAGGTTATAGGGCTTATTTAAGGTTTTTCAGCATATGAGTGGCTGAGATGGGACCAAACTCCAGGCCTCTAGATACCAAACTCCATATTCTTCCCAAGGAGCCATAGGCCCTCTCTTGTTTAATCTAGGAACTTCACTTAACAGATATTTATTGAGCACCAGCTACAAGGCATGCCCTATTCTAGGGACGCAGAGGGGCCCATGCAGAGGCCTGGCTTCCTGGAGCTGACTGTCTACCAGGTGAATAACTGGGGTCCCCACTTACAACGAACCAGGCCCTGTTCTAAGCACCTGGCAGGTCTGAAGGCACTATTTTAATCCCATTTTAAAGTGGAGAAAGCTGGGGCTGCCGGCAACCCTGCCAGTCTACCTGCAGCTTACAGTCGGCCAAGCTGTCATTCTTCTTGGCACCTGTCTCTATTGGTAGAAAATGTGCAGGGAGGGACCTCAGGGCCATCTCCGTTTGTCTAATTTAAAGAAAAACTGGCCCTAGCACAGTCCAGCTCCTTGGTGATTTAACAAGCTTCTGCAGGACCTCAGTTCACCTATCTGTTTTGCCCTGATCGCTGAGGAAGTGGCATGGATCAAATACAACAATCATTTGGCTTTAATCAACTGGGAACAAGGCTACATAAGGAAGTGCGGTAAGGAAGCCACAAAAGAAACATGGGCCTAGAGACAGCTTTCTAGTGTGCCTGGTACTTGTCCTGTGTGGCCTGTGAATGGCAGTAGAAGAGGCATACCAGAGTAAGGGAGACAAGGCTGGCCCCAAGCTCAACCACTGATTCGGGGCAGTCATGGAACAGGGCATAGCCCAGCTGCTAGCATCAGGGGCAAGTGCATTCGGCAGACAGGGCAGGGACTCCCAGAGCCCAGCCACAGAGCAGGGGGCAGCCAAAGAAAGCAATCAGCATCAGAGCATTGCGGCGAGGAGCGCAGGATGGCCAGAGAGTGGTGGGCCTCAAGAAGTGGGTGAGCCCCAAGTTCAGGGAGGTTGAGGTATAGGCGGGTGAGGGAGGGCCAGTGGATGTTGGGGCTGAGGATGGGGTGGGAGTCAAGGCCTGATGGAGGGCTAAGAAGGCATTCAAATTCCAGAGACCAGCATCATCCTCTGTGTATTCTCTCTTCACTGTCAACACATTAAGGCAGGAGTATAAGGAAGTGCGGGCCATCTGATCAGAAACTGACAGACAGATGACTGAAGACAGGAAAGTCAAGGGCTGCACAAGGAGCCTGAAGAGCAAAGGCCGAGGTGAGGGTGGGACCTCTGAGGAAAAGCCAGAAAGAGCAAAGGTGAATTATGGTTAGGGTGCACCATCGGCAGTAACTGGAGTTGCCCCATATCGGGGTGGCCGGTGAGACAATGTACTACTGGTGGTAACTGTCACCAAACACTTGGAGGACAGACCAGACAAGGCAACGGAGCTCAGAAGACTGGGGAGCCCTGGGAACACACTTTTCACAAGTTCCCTATTAGTAAGAGAACACAGTGGTGTGGCTTGCACAGTGTAGCACACACAGAGCACTGGATGAATGAGTGCAGAAATGAATGAATAGGAACTGATTTGTTTGAAGAATGACCAGGTGATGGCCCTGGAAGGAAGGGAAGTACCACATTTTGCTTATGTCAGCTATGGGACTAAACAGCACTTCACCAGCATTTGAGAGTAGGAGACAGCACGGGGCCCACACAGCAGTGTGCACCACAGGTGAGTCCATTCTCTCAGGAGAGAGAAAAGCAGAGACTCCTGGGCAGGCCTTTCCTCCGCCCTGCCTCCACCTCTCTTCAATAAATGACAGGCTGCCACCTCCCGGGCTGACTGCCCAGGGCACTGCGAACAGACTGCAGCATGTGCCCATGCTCTGAGACGTGTGAAATACCAAGTAAACAGGGAATCGTTCTTACCTGTCCTGTTCTTTCACACCCAAAACAGCACCTCTGAAGCATTTTTCACACTGCAGGATGGCCCGGTGTGACAAGGACATCAAACAAAGTAACTTCAGGCTTCCGTGGACACTAATGAACTGCAAGGAACACCTTGATGAATAAATGTGAGCGCTCCGTGCTCATGGACAGCCAGACTCCAGGCCTCCCAAACATGCCGCTCACTCCAGGAGAAGCTCAGGCAGGTGGGCTGCCCTGCAGCTGGTGACACCCACCCAGGCTGGGAGGGTTTACACAGAGCTGCAGAGACAACCTGTGTCTGCTGTCGCCAACACCCCTGCCTGGCTCCCAGGAACGTCATCCTACCAGGCTGTTAGGCACTAGATACAGTCTTGAAGGGGTTCTAGAAAACCGATTTCTTTGCAAAACAGGTGCCCAGGACTCCTGATAGAAGGGGCCCGCAGAATGAGACGGTGCCTGAAAATTGCTTCCAACAGGATTTGGGGAACTGACGGTGAGAAGTTACAGCTTCTCGCTAATGTCTTCGTATTTCCTCAGAACTCCCAGGAACACCATTGCAGATCTCACTCTTTCTCTTTTTTGAGCCTACTGTTCACACACACACACACACACACACACACACACACACACACACACAAAAGAGGGCCTCCTTCCTCAAAGGCCCATGGACATAACCTGAAATGTTCATCTTAGCTCTTTAAAGCCTGTCTTCACACTTGGGAAATAAATGGCCCCTTAGATTCTGACAATTTGTCACCTTTGGCATTCCAAGAAGTCAAGGGCAGATACTCTTGTTATTCTCCTCAGATTGCTTCTGAGTGCAGTGGAGGTGCGGTCAGTTGAGAGAGAGCACGCCCAAGGCCACATCCAGCAGCAGCCAGGCTGGGAAGAGTGCCAGGTCTCTGAACTCCTTGCCAAGTGCCCAGCTGACCTGGCCTCCTTTCGGAGCCAATGCTCACCTGGACAGGGGCTTCTGGGGTTGGCAACGGGTCCAGGGCAGCAAACCCTCTCTCTATTCTTGCTAGGGCCATGCCAGGCACAGCCCTGCCTTTGAGTAATTTTAATACTGAATGCTTCCTGCCAGACTGTTCTGTCCTGCATATGAGCAAAACCTAATTAGAGAGTGAAGAAAATAACAAAAGAAAAACTCCAACCTCATGAAGTCAGTTGCTATGATTTTTATAGACCATAGTGTAGATGGAAAAGTTCTGTTCCAACCAACCCCTTGCAAAGATTCCAAGAAAGCCTCATGGTGCAAGTCATAAAGATCAAATGTCTCCTCTGCAATTACGCTTTAAAATGCTGCAAGGTGCGATGAGTCTGAGGGTGCTGGCCCACACCTGCAGCCCTGGTGATGTCAGGAGGCACAACTGGACAAGCACAGGAAGCTGCCAAGGAAGGACATGCCAGCCCGGGTCCCTTCCACAAAATGCCCCAAACCCATTAGCCCGTTAACTCGTGTCAATAGCTTTCAAACTTTCCTCAGTGCTCACTGTCTTTCCTGTCAACTCCCACCACCAGCACAAAATGTCCTGACTTTGTCAAATCACTTAAACTGCCCTGTGGGATCATTCTCTCACCCTGCAGCTATTTGAGATCTGAAATGAGCTGATATTTGTCTTGTTGAATAACTAAACATTTCAAGGCAATGTAAAGCTTGCTGTAGAATACATCTATAATAATAAAAGCGTAATATGCTAATTAGACCGGATGTCCTTCCGGACAAAGCCGCAGAGGGTGGGGGCTGCGGCAGAGGCAGCAGAGGCCTCCCAGCGTGGTGGTGGTGGGCGGGGGGCCAGAGCCAAGGCCCTTGCACGAATTTAGTGCATTGGGCCTCTAATACATACATATTTGATCAGCAATGAACCTCCTGATTACTGGACTTGACTGTGCCTCGGTGGTGCACTCTGCTAGACCCCATCAACGGGAGGTAACCGTCAGCACTATCCTGCAGATAATAAACCCAAAGGCACCAGCACAGCACCTAGAGCAGCCAGCTGCCCTTCCATCATGGACTGCGACACCACTGTAAGTGGTTTCTTTAGGGAATGACAGAGGCTTACACTCAAACTCTAGAAGAGGATACTTCCACCTGCTGGTCCAATGCCCATGTGTCAACTTCGTAGAGACTCATTTTGCCTTCAGAACCAGGACATCCCTTGAGCTATTGGAAACCTGTGGGTCTATGACCCTTTGTTTCTCCCTGTGTCTTTCTGCTACTTGCAAGCCAGAGTGGCAGAGGGTGCAAAGGGGAAAGAAGAGAAGGCAAATTCCAATCAGCAAATGCTATTGGCAAAAATTTGAGACAACAGAGATGTGAATCTACTGTGGAGTTTTAGACAACCAGTAGAAAACTACTTCCATAGTTATCTCTAGTTGGCTAAGCTATTTTTTTTTATTCTTCAGTCGAGGATATGTTTATTGATTTTAGAGAGAGAGGAAGAGAGAGTGAGAAACATCAATGTGAGAGAGAAACATCGATTGGTTACCTCTTGTACGTGCCCCAACCAGGGACCAAACCCGCAATCGGGGTATGTGTCCTGACCGAGAAACAAGCCTGAGACCTTTCAGTGTACAGGATGATGCTCCAAACACACTGGCCAGGGCTGGCTAAGCCATATTTTAAAAAGCAATTGTAATCTGTATTGGGGCAGTTCGTGTCATTGAATTGTAAATTGATATAATTTCATAGTGTATGATAATTCTGAAAGCTTTTTATAAATGTTCTTGTGTAATGGAAAACCTGATAGAACATTCGTAGAGAATGTTTCCGTACACACCACAGAGTCTGCCATTATGTCAATTGTCACATTGTGTTATTTTTAAATCAACTCGCTGCTTAATAAGAACATTATGAAGCAAAGTGCACACATGGTACCTAATTTTCATACATTATTAACTCTGCTTGAGGTTTTTGTGGGAATTTTTTAAAAAATCAAGCAAGCAGGCATCTGTTCCCATCTGAAATCATGCAAGCTAATTTTATTTTCTAATTCCCCATTGTTTACGAAAACCCTCTTAGGCGTGCAAAAATAACAGGGGTGGGAGTGGGGTGTTCAGTTGCCTTTCCCATTTTTCTTACTTAGCTACGTCTCCTTTGGTCTACACACTGCACAGCACATGCTGGAACAGCTCCAGCCTTCAGGCCCCAGAGGGAGTTTGTTTTAGGCCATTGAAGGTCATGCTAAGGTGTCTGAGGTCAGCTCACATGTGTGTTTATCTGTCAGTGCAGCTGCCCTAAAATCTCCCAGGTTAGCCCCCTGCAGCAGATGCTGTCAGAGCCTGATGTGTCCCCCAGCCCAGAAGTCACCTGCAGTGTCAGTGGACAACAGCAGGCAAGCCCAAGACTTCTGAGCTGGAGCAGCTGTGTCTCTGCCTGAAAATCCCACCAGGCTCCAGGAGGGTGCTGGGCCTGAGGCAGGGCTGGCCAGAAGTTATCAGGAAGTTACTGCCTCTAGAAGTGATTTCAGTCACTGAAAAATGACAGTTCTGGGGTTCAAACTCCCAGCCTCCTCACCTTCATTGGGCCAATTCTGGGACATGTGCTATACAGTCCCCCAGAGGGTCCCCAGGAATCATCAACCCACGCTTTGCAGGCTTTTGCCCTCCCTGTCTTACCTCTACCCCTCACTGTGCTTCCTGAGAAGACCTCCTAAAATAACTACCTACAGCTAAATTATGTTACTTTGAGGGAGCCCAAACCAGAAACATTTTAATGATTTGAAGTAAGCCATGTTTTTTGTTTTCTGTTTTTTATTGTTTAAAGTATTACATATGTCTCCTTTTTCCCCCATTCAACCCCTCCCTGGCCACTCCCACCCCCCAGGACAAGCCTCCACTGCCCCAGTGTCTGTGTCCATTGGTTATGCTAATACTAGAGGCCTGGTGCACGGATTCGTGCACCGGTGGGGTCCCTCAGCCTGGCCTGCTGTGGGGATGCCAAAATCAGCAGTCCAACATCCCCCAAGGGGTCCCAGAGTTCGAGAGGGCACTCTGCAAAGTTGCTGTCGCTCAGCCGCTCCTGCATTGACCATCTGCCCCCTGGTGGTCAGTGCACATCATAGCTACCAATGGTCAGCCGGTCGGCCGGTTGGCCGGTCAGCCAGTCGCTTAGGCTTTTATATATATAGTTGCATGCATACAAGTCCTTTGGTTGATCTCTTACCCCGCTACCCCATCCTCCCCTGCCTTCCCTCTGAGGTTTGACAGTCTGTTCAGTGTTTCTCTGTCTCTGGATCTATTTTTGTTCACCAGTTTATGTTGTTCAATATTTTTCCCAAATGACTGAGACCATGGGATATTTGTTTTTTTCCGACTGGCTTATTTCACTTAGCATAATGCTCTCCAGATCCATCCATGATGCTGCAAATGGTAAAAGTTCCTTCTTTTTTATAGCAGCATAGTATTCCATTGTGTAGTTGTACCACATTTTTTTAATCCACTTATCTGCTGATGGGCACTTAGGCTGTTTCCAAATCTTAGCTATTGCAAATTGTGTTGCTATGAACATAGGGGTGCATATATCCTTTCTGATTGGTGTTTCTGATTTCTTGGGATATAGTCCTAGAAGTGGGTTTAGTGGGTAAAATGGGAGTTCCATTTTGAACTTTTTGAGGAAACTCCATACTGTTTTCCACAGTGGCTGCACCAGTCTGCCTTCCCACCAGCAGTGCACAAGGGTTCCTTTTTCTCCACATCCTCGCCAGCACTTGTCGTTTGTTAAGCCATGTTTTTTAAAAATATTTTTTTTTAGCCAAAACCGGTTTGGCTCAGTGGATAGAGCGTCGGCCTGTGGACTGAAAGGTCCCAGGTTCGATTCCGGTCAAGGGCATGTAGAGGAAGGGAGAGGGAGAGAGATTGAAACATCATTGATGAAAGAAAATCATTGATCAGCTGCCTCCTGCATGCCCCACACTAGGGATTGAGCCTGCAACCCAGGCATATACCCCAACTGGGAATCGAACCATGACGTCCTGGTTCATAGGTTGAAGCTCAACCACTGAGCCATACTGGCTGGGCTGAAGTAAGCTACATTTTAATGTGGTTATTCATTATGCATTACTTGGTTGATAACTGGTCCTTTCTTAACCAGAATTCTATACTGGTTTACATTCCTAGA